GTATAGATGATTATAGCAGTATAGCTATTCCTGTGTAGGAAAGGGGATAATCTAGACTGATATGTGGCAACTTTATACTAGTATAGCTGCATTCATACTAGGGGTTGTATCAGTTAACTATCTTTGTAAAAATCCCACACTTAACTGACATATTTCAGAGTAGCAGCCGTGTTAGTCTGTATCTGCAAAAAGAATAGGAGTACTTGTGGCACCTTAGAGACTAACACATTTATTTGAGCATAAGCTTTTGTGGGCTACAGCCTACTTCATCGGATGCATGTAGTGGAAAATACAGTAGGAAGATCTATTATACAGAGAACATGAAACAATGGATGTTACCATACACACTATAAGGAGAGTGATCAGTTAAGGTGAGCTATTATCAGCAGGAGAGAAAAAGAACTGTTTGTAGTGGTAATGAAAATGGCCCATTTCCCACAATTGACAAGGAGATATGAGGAACTGTGGGGGAGGGGAGGGAATAAACATGGGGAAATAGTTTTATCTTGTGTAATGGCCCATCCACTCCCAGTCTTTATTCAAGCCTAATTTAATCGTGTCCAATTTGCAAATTAATTCCAATTCAACAGTCTCTCGTTGGAGTCTGTTTTTAAAGTTTTTTTGTTGTAATATTGCAACTTTTAGGTCTGTAATCAAGTGGCCAGGGAGGATGAAGTGTTCTCCAACTGGTTTTTGAATGTTATAATTCTTGACGTCTTATTTGTGTCCATTTATTCTTTTACGTGGAGTCTGTCCGGTTTGGCCAATGTACATGGCAGAGGGGCATTAGGCTATTAGGTTACCTGGTGTCACAATTCACGCTGTGTTAATCCCATTTCTTTACCTATATATTATTTATACATGTAAAGCCTGATTTCCAGAGCACCCATGATCTCAGCTGAAGTCAATGGCAGCTGTGGGTTCTGCGCAAGGAAACAGCATCTTCACTTGGTCCATCACTTTTGAAGGCTTTTAATAAGAAGTCACCCTGGTTTAGATTTTCCAGAACAGCCCTCGTCAGTAGTTACCTAGAGAAAGTAAAGAGAGACGATCCCTTCCCAGCAGTGATAATATTTTGGACCACCATATGGTCGAGAAAATGGCAAACGCCACTTTGATTCCTCCATGTTGCCTCTACCACTACTCTGTAAATCCCGCTATTTATCCACCTGCATGTTTCATTTCTGACTCGTCTTTCCCGATTCTGCTACAAATTTAGAAAGGAAGTTTAGGAACCACATTTCATTCTTCACCTACACACTTGGGGTAGCTGGGTGGTGTTAGTGGCCTGTGAGATACAGGAGGTCAGGCCCTTCTGGCCTTGAACTCTGTGACTTCATATGTACTTCAGAGTGGGCCCAGTGGCCAACTGGACAGCACAATAGACTACCCTGGTCCTCATTCCGGGCCTGATCCAGAGCCCATTAAGTCAATGGAAAGACTCCCATTGACTTCAGTGGGCTTTGATCAGGTCCTTGCAAAGCGTAGTTATGCAGCTGCTGTCGGAATGGCCTCCTTGGAAGTTGGATTATTGGTTGTCTTCCTGTACCGAGCAAACATTTCTCCCCTGGCATAGATCCCTGTGGCTCTAATAAACGAAGGCCATCTCTCCAGTTACAGCGGCACATTGTCCCGATATAGCTGTGCTGCTGTAAAAGCGCTTGTGTAGCTGCATTATGCAGACAGGAGAGAGCTCTCCTGTCGACATGGAAAATCAGCTCAAGAGTGGCGGTAGCTATGTCAGCGGGAGAGCGGCTCCTGCTGACATAGCACTGTGCACATGAGCGCTTATGCAAGCAAAACATATGTTGCTCACGGGGTGTGTTTTCCCCCTCCCCCCCCCCCCCCCGAGTGACAAAAGTTTTGCCAACATAAGTACTAGTGTAGACATGGCCTACATTGAATTGTTTTTCTTTCTCATTTGGATTGTTTTGGAGGGGTGTTTACAAAGTGACAATAAAAGGTTAGAAGAAGTTTATAGGAAGACTTTGAATTATTTAACATCTCTATTGTAGGGCGTTATAATTCAAGGACCCCTTGTCCGAATCAATTCAAATTTTGCAAAACAAAAAGTTGTACTTTGGCACTAGATCGAACCAATCAATAAGGCAGCTGATATGACTTTTCTTGTGGAATATATTTGGAAAGGACAAAATAGGACGTAAAAGAGAAACCCAGTTTCAATTTTAACCCTGGATTAGCAACTCCCACTGATTGATTTAGCTTATTAGAACTTATTCTTATACACCCATGCAAGCTAAGTGACTTATCCATGGTCACACAGCGAATCAGTGGCTGAACTGGGAGCAGAATCCAGGTGTCCTAGCTACTTGTCAACTAAGGGACACTGGAGTCAGATTCTCAGCTGGGGTAAATCAGAATAACTCTAACTGGAGTCATTGGCACTATGCTGATTTACACCAGATGAGAATCGGTTCCACTCTCTCCTCCCTTAGGCTGTGTCTTCCTTAGGGGAAAAAAGTGTGTTCTTCCATCAAATTAGCTGAACATCCCTGAGGAAGACAAGGCAGTGCGTAGTTTTCACACAAGTGAACTGGTCGCGTTAAAGACTATGGGGGGAGCCTTGTCTTCACTCTGCTGCTAACTCGAATGAAGAGCACCCCCTTCTTTTCTGATGAAGACAGGGCCTTCATGGCTAATGCTGTTGTGAAAAGAGCTAAAATCCCCATACAGGTCGTTCTCACCTGTCACTGAGAGGAAGTGACGTGTCCATGTGAAGTTTGCATGGCACAAGATGCTGTGATGTGATCTCAGCAGCCGAGCCCAAGGATCCAGGCGTCTCCTGGCTCTTCGGGGCAGGCAAAGCTACCGCTAAAAGCCAACGGAGGTGAAACAAACAAATACAATCCTTAAATAACAAGTGGTCAATAAAGGCAAATTCAATTAAGATGAAACTCAAATATCTGCTCCCCCTTATTGTTATGGGGTCAGTGCCAGGGGCAGAGGGATAAAGCTGCAGACCAGCCACTGACCATAGAATCATCCTCAACTCCCTCCCCTCCCCCCCCCAGCTACCCATCCAATATCCAGATTGGAGTGCATGCTCCTCTCGCAAAGACCCCTCTGTGGCTGCTGCTGGGCATGGCTCCGAATGCACATCTATGATGCTACATAAGTAATGAATAATCACCATATAAGATGATGGGGGTGGGGAGGGATAGCTCAGTGGTTTGAGCATTGGCCTGCTAAACCCAGGGTTGTGAGTTCAATCTTTGAGGGGACCATTTAGGGAACTGGGGTAAAAAATCTGTCTGGGTATTGGTCCTGCTTTGAGCAGAGGGTTGGACTAGATGACCTCCTGAGGTCCCTTCCAACCCTGATAATCTATGATTCTATGATAACCACCTCTGCCTCTCAGCCCTGAGGGAGTGAGAAAGATCCCAAACACTCAAGAGATATTGGCCCAAGTCAGCCCATGGGGCAACAGGGAACAGCTGTGTATTTGATGATGTTTCACACAGAACCAGCTCAGCAAGTTGCACCAATAACAGTCACTTTAGTGAATATGACCTTAACTCCCTCCCATAGGCACTGACTTTTATTTTTCTTTGCAGGTGCCCCACAACCCTCTCTGCCCCGAGGCCCCGCCCTCACCCTGCCCCCTCCCCCAAGGCTCGCCCTCACTCTGTCTCTTCCCACCCCCACTCCCTGAGGCCCTCGCTGCTCTCTGCCCTCCCCCAAGCCACCAAACAACTATGGTTGGTGGGCACTAAGCTCCCACTAATTTTTTTTCCAGCCCTGAGCAACCACAGCGTTGACACCTATGCTCCCTCCCTTTCCTGACGTTCTCCTCACCGCATTCCTGATGGGTTTGCAAAGGAGGTACTTCATGTCCTTTCACTTCCTGCAGCATGCCATAGAGATTTCAGTGTAATGTTACTTAGCTAGTGAAAACCAAGGGGAGAGAAGAAATACAGATCCTCTACCTTTGTCACAGCGCACAGGCGTCTGCTGCGGTATTTTCTTGTCCGTTCCATTTACTGTCCCGTTCTCCCCTATTGATAATTACAAGAGTTACATGTTCGCAAATAATCACATGAACTTGGGTGATGTGTAATGACCTGGGATTGTGCAAAAAATCCCACTGATGCTTTGTGAGATGGCGCAAGCTAGGAATTCCTAATTCACATAGGCCTACCAAGCTTTGTAACACTTACTGTGCCTCTGTAAGAAGAAAATGGCATCGTGATATCCTTGTAAATAAAACTCACGGAGCACCTGCAGGGGAAACCACTCAGCATTATAAAGGACAGTCATTCCAGTTGCAAAAGAAGTGTCCCTGTAGGCAGTAATTACAGTGTTGCCAACTCTTGCCATTTCATTGTGCATCTCGCAATATTTGGTGTTTTTCTTAAAGCACCAGCTACTGGAGTCATGTGATTTAAAAAAAAATTATTTACTTTATTTATTTATTGGTGAACATCTCTGCTTTCATTAAAAAACATTGCTGTGGAGAAAAGCCTGAAAATTTGAATTCTAAAGGCTGAAACATCAGAAGGCAAATAGAACCTACCCAGAATTTTTTTCTAAGGCAATTTTTTTCTAAGGCAATTTTTAAGCAATCTCATGATTTGGGGTGGGGGCTGATTTATGATCCTCACATGCTTGGGGTTGGCAATACTGAAATGATGTGGCACTGTGCAGTGCCTGAGGCTACTCACCGGAGGACTGGGTGGGAAAATACTATAACTAAACCTGCGCAAGTTCTCAACTGAGAGCTGGAAGGTGCTTTGGAAGAAGCTAATGCAGTTGAAATAGGCAGGGCAGTCCCTCGGGCAGATGTCGACCTCTCCTGTGTAAGGGGATACCGTGATCACGGTATCCGAGTCCAAGCCAGGCTGCACGTTAGTCATACCTCCATCAACGTAGCGCTGAGAAGACATGTGGGTTGAATCAGATAATGGTTCATCTTCTGTGTGAATCACAGCATGCTTATCTCGTGTACGCCTTAACAAGAGAGCCAGATCCCATTAGGAAGTCCAGATCACAACTTAAGCACGTAAAATGGGAACTTTTGGGACCGGTTCTCATTTACATTAAGGCCACTTAACACTGGAGTGCAAATCACACTGATGCCCATTTTAAGGCCTTTTTACACTGTCTCAGTGCAAATGAGAATCAAGCCCTTATGTAGCTAATGCCATTAAATGAAGAGGGGTCTCGTGGTTAAGGCAACAGATTGGGAGTAAAGAGATCTAGGGAGTGGATCCTCAGTTGAAGTAAATCAGCACAAGTCCATTGCGTTTACTGGAGCAATTCCAATTCACACCAGGTGAGAACATGGTCTCGAGATTCTAGATGCCATTGTGTAGCTCTGGGTTCAGGACGGGCCCTATAAGCATACTGCAAATGAATATAAACTTGTGCTAGCCGGATACATGATAGTGCTAATGGCTCAAGCAAACACTTGCAACCTGGAGGGATCCATATGCCCAGAGCTTAACTCAGCTCACTGGTTTCGTTTGCGCTTTTGCCTCCTCCACAGCTCCTAGCCAACCTGAAACTTGCATTAAAACTCAAGGGGTGTGAAGTCCCATGGACTTGAAACTGACAAAAATGCTTCTTGGAATAATAACCCACTAGGACCCCAGGCAGTAAGGACTGCACACCACAGCTGCATGCCTGAGATCCATGTCAGCCCACCGTCTGGTGGGATCAGAACATTTTCCACCTGGAGCATTGGCAAAATGCACTCACCACGCCTTGGAAGGAGGGAGGGTTGAATCCACAATAGATAGGAAGGAAGCAGCTACAGATCACTGCCTGTGGGGAGAGGGGCAGAGGGTTACAGGTGAGTAGAGATAAATATTTTAGAGGCGCATCATCAACCAAGAAATTTCCCTCTGAAAATGCTGCACCTATTGTTACAAGTAACACCTCAGACTGACACGATGGGGCGAGCGTAGAGGGGAAACAGCTTGGATGTCTTTATTTCAGTGTGTTGATGCCGTTGCCAGCGGTTTGTGTACAGGCTCTTTGGCTGCTCTGTTGTTGGTTAGTTGCACTTTCCATCTGAGATAGGGCAACGGACCAGGTGAGGCGGGGGCTAGTCTCATCTCTGCCACTGACTTGTTATTGGACCTTCTGCAAGTCACTTCCCCTCCCTCTACTTCACTTTTTCCATCTGTAAACTGGGCATAACGATGCTTTTCTTCCATACGGGGCCAGCTCTTCTACAGTCAGTGCTGCCCACTCATCTAAGATCAACACATTGTCACAACTGATTCAAATGAGGACTGAATTCCAAGAGCCTGTTAAAGGTTTGATTCCCATTGTGCCGCCTGATTGGAAAATTCTAGAGAAACTGATGGTGAATCCAGCTGGACAGCTCTATAAATTGCTAGGTCAGGGTGGAACTGGCATTTTCACTCATGGGCACAGATCATGCAACAGGCAGAGTCAGTCACTATGGGTTAATTTGTATGTGGCTGCTGCCTCCGTATCCAGATGGCCTCTGGATAAATAAGCCAACAAGAGTTAGAGCTGATGGAATATTTTGCTTATAACTTGATGCTCAGCTGGGGGTGGAGTCTCTGTGGAACCAGACCAGGCTGGAATTCTCCTGTCCCAGCCTGCACCTGTAGTTTGAATTAAGTTCAACAGGATTCCTCTCTCCCTAATAAACTCAGTTGTTATTTTCCTAGCGCATCGTCAGTTTAATTACTTCCCCCTCTTCTAAATACATAGGAAACAAAGCCACCGTTACCTGTATGAGCTCCTCCTTCGATCTGTACTCTGAAATGATGACGTTCTGTAAGTCCAACAAGCGCGTGAGGGAAATGCAAAGCTTCCCCGAAGCCAGCTGGTGTGAGTTCTCCGGCAGCTCTTTACGCAGCCCCTTCTCTATGATCCGAAGCATACAGTAACCTGGACAAAGGGTGAGAATACTCGCTTTCCTGACTTCTTCCATAGCTTCATGAAAAAATTCTTCTATCAGACCTGGGAGGGAGTAACCGATCTCGATCACCAGTGTTTATAGACAAAAAGGAACAAATTCTCTCACGTCCCAATAGCAGATGCTATACAGTGATGAGTGTGTTATGAGAACCTATAGAATAGAATATTCTAAAATCTGTAGACAAGAATGTTGTTGTTACTTGTCTTGTGGAGGTAGCTAGAATTCCCAGTCAGAGGTTCCATAGTGCTAGGTGTTGTACACGCAAGTAATGAAATGGTCTCTGTTCCAAGATGCTTATTGCCTAAGATTAAGAGAGTCAAGGGGAGCTGTGTGGTACGCATATAGAATTTGGCTCACGGTACCTTACAGTTAATTTGATATCTGGGTAACTTCAGCCTCCATTTAATTGGATCAGAACCCCAGGAACACAAATATTTGTGTTAAGAGAGACTAAGTATTTACACAAGTCAAATGTGTCTAGTGAGTCAAAATGTGCCAAACAAATAATATCGAGTCCCATCTGTGAAGCCCTCCGCAATGATGGGCTAGGCAATATCCATTATTGTTTATTATTATTAAGGACCTGATCAGATTATCGGGGGGCACCCTAAATAAGGCATTTGCAATCCACTCTGGCCCACAATCTGGGCCGTAAGCATTTTATTTAGGGTGTAGCCCAGGGAGCAGGTTCACAGTCTGTGACCTTGTAATAGTAACAATTTATAATGCCCAATGGATGTTACTTTGCACGCCATTGGTAATATTTTCAGGGCTGATGCTCTCCATTATATGTTAGGCACATTTGGATTCATTGTAGCCTATCGTGATGTATAAATAATTAACAGTATAAAGCGATCTCCTAGCACTGGGTTATATGTGAAAACTGTTTCCAAGAAGAATCTCAGAGCATATCTTCTCACGGTTGCAAAAGAAAGAGCTGTGTATCTGGGCTTTCCCAGTGATTCCTGCAGGGGGTGTTGGGCGGAGTGGTGTGATAAATATCAGGAGTCAAGGAGAAAACAAAAATCAAACAATCTAGCAGGGGGGAAACAATCTTTTCTCCCCGCAGTTGCTATTTAGCTGACAGCTGCATTTTCACAAGAAAGCATTATGGCCATAAGGACATAAGAACGGCCGCATTGGGTCAGACCAAATGTCCATCTAGCCCAGTATCCTGTCTTCCGACAGTGGCCAATGCCATGTGCTCGAGAGGGAATGAACAGAACAGGGAATCATCAAGTGATCTAGCCCCTGTCGCCCATTCCCAGCTTCTGGCAAACAGAGGTTAGGGACACCATCCCTGCCCATCCTGGCTAATAGCTATTGATGGACCTATCCTCCATGAACTTATCTAGTTCTTTTTTGAACCCTGTTATAGACTTGGCCTTCACAACGTCCTCTGGCAAGGAGTTCCACAGGTTGACTGTCCATTGTGTGAAGAAACACTTCCTTTTGTTTGTTTTAAACCTGCTGCCTATTAATTTCATTTGGTGACCCCTAGTTCTTGTGTTATAATAAGGAGTAAATAACACTTGCTTAGTTACTTTCTCCGCACCAGTCATGATTTTATAGACCTCTATCATATCCCTCCTTAGCTGTCTCTTTTCCAAGCTGAAAAGTCCCAGTCTTATTAATCTCTCCTAATACGGAAGCTGTTCCATACCCCTCATCGTTTTTGTTGCCCTTTTCTGAACCTTTTCCAATTCTAATAGATCTTTTTTGAGATTGGGCTACCACATCTGATCCAAAGCATCCTGAGGTGAATGGAAAGACTTCAGAGGGCTTTAGCTCAACTGTAAATTGGCAGCAATCTCAATGTTGTAGATTTCACCTCAGGAGCAGAATCTAAATATTGCATCATAGACAACAACTTTTGTAACTGAAGACGTTTGCACATGTTGCTACTAGGCTGTACCTAACACCTCCCCAATGTGCTTCACCCACACACAATATCACGAGACAGGTCCCTGGATTTGGTCCAACCTTACATCTCACCAGCCAAACCTCCTTTCAAAACCATGTTGGCTTGCGGAAGGGCAAGCCCCCCTCACACTCATCTCTAAAAGAAAGGAATTGATGAGTTAAGAGAAACATCTTCCCCCTACTGTATCCTAACACCTAACAACGTGCAGAGCATGCAGACTCAGCGCCTCCTCCAAACACAGAGAGATGCTTTGTCCCTTCGTCCATCTACCTTGTGCTGCAATGCCAGGACCTTAACTTTGACTCCTCAACAACATTAGCAGGTTGGCGTAGGTACACTGGAGAAGTGTGTTTGTGGCCCATGGGTAGGGAGATCTGGTCTGATGAGCTCCAGGATGCTTGTCAAACCAGTTCCGCGGGGAGGAAAAGGAAGTAAGATCCCTGGGCCAAAGGGGGTATGCATGAGGGATGCAGCAATATGCCAGTTATGACCCACCCAATCCTCATTTATCCCTCTACCATCTTCTTACACATTGTCCCTTGATCCAGACCCCCTCCAGTCTTCTATTCAGGGCTCCCATTCCCCATTGCCTCTGTCAGAGCTCAGGGCAACTGCACTTGTATTCCCCTCTGTGGTCCACCAACGGCACCCACTCTGTGCTCCCAGCAACTCAGCCATCACCTCTCGTGGGTAGAGACCTGTGTCTCTCTCCCTCTTGACCAGGGTTTTTCCATGCTGCACAGTTCCCTGCCCTGTGAGATCCCCAGCAAGCCAGACTGCCTAAACAGCCCAGCTTCTGTGCTTTGCTGTCTCTTTGACGGCTAGAAGCAGCTGTAACTGGCAGTCGTGACAATTGACCACACAGCCCTTTGTAAGCAAGCACATTTATTCTTAACATGAAAGCATTCCTGAGGAAACCTATTAAAACAATAAAAGAACCTACGCTCATGCTAACAAACTTACCAGAGATCACCCCTCACTCTGAGAGTGCTCTGGTAGGAGTCAGTCCTTCAAACCACAACAAGGGTTTTTCCTGTGGTTACAAATTCATAGCCTTAGCTCGAACTAGCACCCCCATGAATAGTTCAGTCTTTCCTTTATACAGCTGGGGCCTTTGATACTGAGACTCCAGGAGCAGGTGATCATCAGAAAATGGTCCCCTCCTCAAAGTGTAGCCTGGGTTTTTGCATATCCAGAAGTGGGGAATTTGCATTCACCTCCACCTAGAGATTCCCCAGGAAAACCACATTGACCCTCTTTGTCCCCAAAGTCCACTCTTGCCTGGCACATTGTTCAGTATCATATTTGAAGTTCATAACACTTCCCAATGTTCACATCCCATCTCCGCTCTGGAGGTACGTGACATACAATCCCAGCCCACACAAGCCATTTGTTTAATACAACGGACCCCAAACATACTTAAACTTAATTCAGTAAGGTCTCCCAGGGATATTGGAGGAAATTCCATATCTGTCACAACCATCACTCTCAGTGGCTGCCCCCCGCTTCTCCAGAGATCAGGACAGTGCTGGCAGAAACCAGATGTTTGGGGCAAAATGCCAGAGGTTTCTAGGTGTAGCTCTCTGGAATTATGCCAAAGAGCAAGAGAAATAAAGATATAGAGAGCTTGACCAGAATAAGCCATTCCATAATAGCCCTAAGTATGGGCCAGGGAGAGCCAGAGAATGACTCAATACCTAGTGGGTAGCGCAGTCACCTGGGAGACCCACATTCCAGTCATAGGCACCAAATTCTGCTCCCCCCTCTGTCCCCAGCCCCGCCCTGACTCCACCCCTTCCATGAGTCCCCGCCCCTACCCTGACCCATCCCCTCGCACCCCTGCCCCGCCCCCATTCTAACCCCTTCCCTAAAGTCTCCGCCCCCTCCCTGCCCCTATTCCGACTCCTTCCCCAAATCCCCGCCCTGGCCCTCCCTCTTCCCTGCCTCCCCCTCTGAGCACACCACGTTCCCACTCCTCCCCCCTCCCTCCCGGAGCAGCCAAACAGCTGTTTGGCGGCAGCAGGGCAGGAAGCACTGGGAGGTAGGTGGAGGAGCGGGGATGCAGCACATTCAGGGGAGGAGGTGGCAGAGGAGCTTTGCTGCCGGTGGGTGCAGCGCACCCACTAATTTTTTACTCTGGGTGCTCCAGCCCTGGAGCACCCACAGAGTCAGCGCCCATGGTTCCAGTCCCTACTCCACTGAATAGTTAAGTGTTTAGACAAAGCGCAATCACTTCCACAGGAGAGCGCTCTGCGCCAGAATACACGACAGCTCAGTCATTAGGGCATCCGCCTGGGAGGCCTGTGTTCAAGTCAGGCTCCAGGTCAGGCAGAGTGGGGATTTGAACCTGGGTCTAACCACACCCCGCTAAGTGCTCTAACCACTCGACTGTTGGGTATGGGAGGGGGAGGCAGCATGCTCTTAGGGTGGCTCTGAGCATGCCTGCCAGATTGGTCCCCACAGGCAAAACAGATGGAGAAACGCCTAGTTTGGGACTCCCATTGGAATTTAGATGTGAGTTTGGCACCGAGTTGCTCAATCATGTCAGGACTGAGGGAGCCGTGTGCACGCCCAGCTGCAGAAACTTAGGGGTCAGAGGTCTTTGGGTGGCAGCTGAGGAGCGGTTTTGTGAATGCCCATGATGCCTACATTTTGGACTGAGGCACGTGCATCTCTCTTGTGAGTAGCCCTAAGTCACTTGCCCAAGGGCGTACAGGAATCTGTGACAGAACAGGGAATTATACCCAGGTTTCTTCAGACCTAAAATAGTGTCCTAACCACTGGACTAGCCTTCCTCTCATATATACAAGTCGCTACCCTCAGGCACGCCAGGGGGACCCGATAACAATCTTCAAATATGCTAAGGGCTGTTATAAAGAGGACCAGGATCGATTGTTCTCCATGTCCTAAAGGTAGGATAAGAAGTAATGGGCTTCATCTGCAGCATCGGAGATTTAAGTTAGATGTGAGGGAAAACTTTCTAACCATAAAGGAAGTTAAGCTCTGGAATAGGCTTCCAAGGGAGATTGTGGAAGCCCCGTCATTGGTGGTTTTTAAGAACAGGTTGAACAAACCCCTGTTAGGGCTGGTCTAGGTTTCCTTGGTCCTGCCTCGGTGCAAGGGGATGGACTAGATCAGTGTTTCTCAATCTTTTTGATACCAGGGACTGTCTTCCTGCCTTCCTAAATGGTGACAGGGAGATCTCAGAGATCGGCACCGGTCCGTGGACCAGTCATGGGGAAACACTGGAGTAGCTGACCTCTTGAGGTCCTTTCCAGCCTTCCATTTATCTGATTCTCTGCCCATTGAAATACCCCTAGAAGAAGCCACGTTTAAAAATACACACATATGGAATAAAGTAAATTGACACCTTCCTTACCTACATCAACTTCACATGCCACTAATGCAGCTACAACTGACCCACACGATGCTCCGTAGACCTTGGATGCTGATCTCAGTATTTCAGGTGCCAATTCCCATAAAGCCTGCACCACTCCTACTTGGTAGTTTATAAGAAACCCACTACCTGAAAAAGAGAGAGAGATTGGGCTTCCGGGGCCCTCTGGATCTTCTTCAGCCATTGCCAGCCACACTGGGAGCTCACACCTGCACTTTGCAAAAGAGTTAGTGGGGTGCCGAGCAGCACTCAGCAGATTGTGCTTCTAGTCAGTGACAGAATGTCTGTCTTTGCTGACGAGCCGTCAGCACTGAGGTGTAGGCAGGGTTGGGTGGAGTCAGAAGACGCTTGGTCTTTTTATCTGACGCCATTCATCAACTCGTAGCAGTGGGATTGCTCCATAGCACTTCGCACTCAGTAATTATGAAGGTTGCTTTCTTTATTGGTAATCACAGAGTACAAGTACAACACATTGTTTGTGCAAACAGTAATGACCCCGGTGACAAACTTCAAATGCATTTCCACCGAACTGGCACAGTTTTACCATATAGTAACAGTTTCCTTATCCACTACATGGGCATCATATACATTAGCGGAAACTTTATACAGATGACTAGGGAGGAGTATAAAAATATTGCTTCAGCATACAGGGGTGTAATCAGGAAGGCCAAAGCACAACTGGAGTTGCAGCTAGCAAGGGATGTGAAGGGGAACAAGAAGGGTTTCTACAGGTATGTTAGCAACAAGAAGAAGGTCAGGGAAAGTGTGGGACCCTTACTGAATGGGGGAGACAACCTAGTGACAGAGAATGTGGAAAAAGCTGAAGTACTCTATGCTTTTTTTGCCTCAGTCTTCACAAACAAGGTCAGCTCCCAAACTGCTGCATTGGGCAGCACAGTATGGGGCGGAGGTGAGCAGCCCTCAGTGGTGAAAAAAACAGGTTAAGGACTATTTAGAAAAGCTGGACGTGCACAAGTCCATGGGTCCAGATCTAATGCATCCGAGGGTGCTGAGGAAGTTGGCTGATGTGATTGCAGAGCCATTGGCCATTATCTTTAAAAACTTGTGACGATCGGGGGAGATCGGAAAAAGGCAAATATAGAGCCCATCTTTAAAAAAGGGAAGAAGGAGAATCTGGGGAACTAGCCTCACCTCAGTCCCTGGAAAAATCATGGAGCAGGTCCTCAAGGAAACCATTTTGAAGCACTTGGAGGAGAGAAAGGTGATCAGAAACAGTCAACATAGATTCACCAAGGGCAAGTCATGCCTGACCAACTTGATTGCCTTCTATGATGAGATAACTGGTTCTGTGGATATGGGGAAAGTGGTGGACCTGAGATACCTTGACTTTAGCAAATCTTTTGATATGGTCTCCCACAGTATTCTTGCCAGTAAGTTAAAGAAGTATGGATTGGATGAATGGACTATAAGGTGGACAGAAAGCTGGCTAGATTGTTGGGCTCAACAGTTAGTGATCAACGGCTCGATGTCTAGTTGGCAGCCAGTATCAAGCCAGGGGTTGGTCCTGGGGCCGGTTTTGTTCAACATCTTTATTAATGATGGATGATGGGGATGACTGGCACCCTCAGCAAGTTCATGGATGACACTAAGCTGTGGGGAGAGGTAGATACACTGGAGGGTAGGGATAGGGTCGAGAGTGACCTAGACAGATTGGAGGATTGGACCAAAAGCAATATGATGAGGTTCAGCAAGGACAAGTGCAGTGTCCTGCACTTAGGATGGAAGAATCCCATGCACTGCTACAGGCTGGGGACCGACTGGCTAAGCAGCAGTTCTGCAGAAAAGGACCTGGGGATTACAGTGAATGAGAAAGTGGATATGAGTCAGCAGTGTGCCCTTCTTGCCACGGGGGCTAATGGCATATTGGGCTGCATTGCATTGCCAGCAGATCAAGGGAAGTGATTATTCCCCTCTATTCGGCACTGGTGAGGTCACATCTGGAGTACTGTGTCCAGTTTGGAGCCCCCCACAACAGAAAGGATGTGGACAAATTGGAGAGAGTCCAGCGGAGGGCAACGAAAATGATTAGGGGGCTGGAGCACATGGTTTACAAGGAGAGGCTGAAGGAATGGTTTGTTTCATCTGCATAAAAGAAGAGTGAGGGGGAATTTCATAGCAGCCTTCAACTACCTGAAGGGGGGTTCCAAAGAGGATGGAGCTAGGCTGTTCTCAGTGGTGGCAGATGACAGAACAAGGAGCAACAGTCTCAAGTTGCAGTGGGGGAGGTCTAGGTTGGATATTAGGAAAAACTATTTCAGTAGGAGGGTGGTGAAGCACTGGAATGGGTTCCCTAGGGAGGTGGTTGAATCTCCATCCTTAGAGGTTTTTAAGGCCCGGCTTGACAAAGCCCTGGGGTTGGTCCTGCTTTGAGCAGGGGATTGGACTAGATGACCTCCTGAGGTCTCTTCCAACCATAATCTTCTATGATTATTCTTAAGAAACAGCAATTAAAATCTCTGTACCAGTAAATTCCATGTCAGATGATTATATAGGTCAAGAGACAGCATTGCCTAACAGGGGTTCTCAAACTGCATTGCACCGCAACCCTCTTCTGACAAAAATTATTACACGACCCCAGGACGGGGGACCGAAACCTAAGCCTGCCTGAGCCCCACTGCCCCAGGTTGGGGGGCCCAAAGCCCAAGGACTTTAGCCCCAGACCGGGGGCCTGTAACCTGAGCCCTGCCACCCAGGGATGAAGCCCTTGGGCTTTGGCTTCGGCTTCGGCCCCGGGCCCAGGCACGTCTAACTCCAGCCTTGGCAACCCCATTAAAATGGGGTCCCGACCCACAGTTTGACAACCACTGGCCTATTAGATAGAAAGCATGACAGCCTGGGCAAGCCTGGTTTCTATTCCCAGCATTGCTGGTGACCTGCAGCAAGTCACTTCAGTGCTTTGTGCCTCAGTTTCCCCATCATAAAATGGAAATAATGGTCCTCATCTCCTTTGTAAAGGGCTTTGCGCTCTATGGGTTGAAAGATGTATGTATCTATGTATGAGCTTTCCCACTGAAACATATCCCTTGAAAGAAACTGTTTAGATACTGAAATGCAAGTTGGAAAAAAAATCAATTTTTAAAATAATCGATGGGTCAGAGTTAAGGTGATTGTGTTGCAGTGAAATGCATTTCTTTGTACTTATTAGAATTATGTGTTTGTTTATTATGGGTTTGATCCTGCCCCTTTGAAGTCTATGAGAGTTTTGCCACTGACTTAACAAAAGTAGGAACAGACCTAGTGCCCTGTGACCATTGGGTTAAGGTGACCAGACAGCAAATGTGAAAAATCGGGACGGCGGTGGGGGGTAATAAGAGCCTATATAAGAAAAAGACCCAAAAATCGGGACTGTCCCTATAAAATTGGGACATCTGGTCACCCTACATTGGGTTAAGTGCATTATAAACACACAGTAAGAGACATTCCCTGCCCCAGGGAGCTTAGGTCCAGATTTTTAAAGGTATTGAGGCACCTAAGATGCAGATCAGCACCTAGTGGGAGTTAGGCGCCTAGGGAGGTTTGAAAATCCAACTAGAATGTCAGTGGCAGAGCTGGGAATAGAGCCCAGGCTGGCAGCCATTCATAGAGCAGCCCTGGAGTCTGGCATAGCAGCGATTCAGGTCCTTAAACCAGGGTTTCCCCAGCTTTCACTGGTGGAACCTCCTGGTTGGTGGATTGGCCCCTCCACGTACACCCCTTGTGTCTCATTGCTCCATGGCCTGGCATAGTTGCTACCATATCTATTTTCTCTCTCTCATGTTTTCTGCCTCTCTTTCCTTTCCTTTCCT